ATTGCGGGTGGCGAGTTATGGGTGGCGATAATTGTATAACTATCTTTAATAGGAGAAGTTGTATTTTTGAAAAATGTAGAAGGACTAGACTTTTGTTTTCAATATTTAACTCTCTTTTAAAAAAAATAATTTTCAAAATAATTATTATATTTTAAAGTAAAAGATATATATCAAACCTTTGTTTTAGGAAAGAAAGAGTGAAATTCAAATCCATTAAAGGCCTATCCATATATAGTAATCCTCACCTAAGTAAAAAATAGGGTAAAGTATGTGTTAAAAGAAAAAGAAAAGAAAAGTGAAGTATAGTCTGTGAAAAAAGGAAGAGAAGCTTGAAGATAAGTGTCTAAACAAAAATTGATTCTACAGTTGATCTTTTTAAAATATAAGACTTGAGAAACTCTTAAGCTTAAGGATATAATATAGTAAGTATAATTATTCTTATTAAAAATTTTAAGTGTGGGAGATAGAAAGCTTAAACCCTATATTTGGTAAATCTACAAGTATCTCTGAACTAGATAGGGACTCATATTTTCAGACCTCTTCACATTAAAGATTTCAAAACTCTAAATTGGCCTTAATTACTAAACTCTTTTTTAAATTGTACTAGTATATTTCTAGAAAAAAAAATTAGAATATCCTAAAGAAACTCATTTGCATAATCTGCTTATTTTGATTTCAAAAGATTGGAGTGTCACTTGAGGACAAGTAACGTTTTAAGTTTGAGAAATTTTGATACACCTAAAATATACAGCATTTACGTGCACATTTTTATATCTATTTTTGAGGATATTGTGTCTTAATGGAAGATATTTGTGTGTTTTTCTTTCAGGTACAATTAAATGAATGAAATATGGTGAAAGGACTGAAAAAGAATAAAATTTGGAGTAAAAATGAAGGTGTAAAAATGAACTGTGGCGCCTAAGCCCCTAGGACCGACGCTTAAGCACCAGGAGAAAGAGAAGGTCGCGCCTAAGCACCGAAGACCTCCCTTATAGGTGACAGGTAGTTATGATGAAAATTCGAGGAATGTTGGATGAATTTCAAAGGGACGTTTGAAGCAACTTATGGTGAAAATGTGGATTACAGTTAATGGGCACAAAAATAGGTTGAAATGACTCTTGAAAAGAGGAAACTCTTAGAAGATTCATTGAATATGGATATATTTTGAAGAGACACCAAAACACCTTTTAGAAAACTATGAAAAGGAGGACTTGGATTAAATGGATATATAGAAGACATAGGACACTTTTCGAGAGTAGAAAGTAAGGAGTTATAGGATTTTTATTTGGTCTACTTCTAACTTTTCTCATTCCGAGTGAAGGAGAAAGTGATTAGATAGTTCTAAGTAAAAATCCATTGTAGTTTGTTAGAGAGATAAATATAGTTTAACCCTCTAGGGTTGGGCGACCAGACCTAGAAAGCATTGTATGCGTAAGGAAGAGATTCAAAGGAACTTCAAGAGTTTTGTGGAGAGGAATCTGAGACAAGTATTTATCTTTGTGGCTAAATTTGATTTTAATTTAGAATTCTTTTGTTTTTACAAGATTTCTACTTTTAAACTTAATTTTTGTTGTCTTTTCTTCATGAATTTTGAGTAGTTTTCTTTATCTTTTTCCTTAAAATGGAAGTTGTATGAAACATTGATTTATAATGCTAGAATAATTTGTGATTATTTAATCCTTATACTTCATTTACTTCTTGATTTGGCCAATTAAGATGTTAATATTTATAGTGAGAACATGTAAGATCCGTATTGGTATTGTCTAAGTCAACTAACTGTAGAATCACATGAGATTGTATGGAGCAGTATGTAATTCATATAGTTGAGTGCAAATAAATAAGAAAAATAAACTTTGAAGGATGTAGAGTTACAGGACTTTAGAGTGACAGACTAAAGCCCTCAATTTGGTTCTACTTTTTTAAGTCTTGATACGAGAGGTTAGCCTTCACGTGGAGGGAGGAGAGAGAACTCTAGAGTGAGAGCTAGTATCTTTCTTACCTAGTCAGTCTTCAGAACTATTCATACTTTAGATTAACCAATATTCTTTATAATATCTCTAAGGGTAAAGAATAATATCTCTCGTATTTGACACAACACAATTTAAATACTTTTACGACAGAATTACTGTACTTTTTATTGATTCATGATACAAAAAAAGATATTTTATTTGTATTGTCTTCATCTTATAAAAATCTAGTTAAAGTTAGTTAGTTGTTTACTTTACTTTTAATTATCAAAATTACCAAAAAAGAATTGAACTTTCATTCCTACCATAATATGTATAGTTTGAGTAAGACTCTTTTTCAAAGTAGAGTTTGTTATCTAATTTCTTCTTAAAAATTTGTAGTTCTCTCTATGGGTTCGATAATTCGGGGCTCAATCAAAAAGTCATATATTCTTTGATAATGATACGTATGTTTACCTAGTATCTCAATATTTAAATATGACAAATGTACTCTTACTTGCCTCGGAGTCAAATAATTGACACCGTTGTAAAGAAAGAAATAAAAATAAAGAGAATCAAGAATCTAATCACACATACATCATAGTACTATCGTATGAGATAGGGATCAAGTTTTTGGCTTCTATTTTCAAGAAACTTACATCTAGTTCTTAGCAATAGAGTTAAAAGTAGAAGTACATAAAAGAAAAGGGGATCAAGCCCGAACTTCTAGCTGGTCGACCATTCTGACAGGTCCTCGGCAGAAGGCCAACAGACCATCTTGGGTCGGTCGTCGCCCTAGATAACTGGCCAGAAATTCTAGGCTGACCAACTATCTTTTGTTGGTCGTCACCTTAGATATCTGGTCAGAAATCCTAGGTCGACCGTCGAGGAATAACCAACCAGCCACCCTTGGTCTGCCATCCGATGGCCATCTACAACATTCAAACTAGAAAATATTTGAAACACTAGTTGTCCGACATTCTAGCAAAATGACCAACTGATGCTCTCTCTGCCGGCCGAAGGACTCCTCTGAGTGAAGAATCCATGGACATCGAAAGATACCAAAAGGAGTTTCAAAATATGAAAAAGCCATAATATCATATAACCCTCTCATTAAAGCAAGGACAGAGATGTAATTTCAATCTTAGTAGCTCTCTAACTTGTATAAATACATGTAAATACATGTAACAACGATTTTTGGCTCTCAAATATAGACCCATATTTTAGAGGGAGCTTCTCCATCATTCTCATCTTTGTAATCTCTCTTTTATATATAAAACAGGTCATAGAGCCTGAGAATATCCCAGTTTGTCCCAAGGTTCAAGTCTGTATCTGCTCTTTCTGTTTCATTATCTCTCTCTCAACCATATAGCTTCTACCGCTCAGATTCTTGGGTGTGTGCCTCACTGGACAGATTTAGATTCAACAATATGCAAATACAAATCATTTGAGTGATATGCATGAAAAATCGTCCTTTTTCTTACACCATATGACTAGAATAAACGAATTAAAGATGCAAATTAGCAAGGAAATTGTAGACAAACCATTAGTTCTTTCGGAATAGTTGAAAAACACAACTAATCTTAATATAAATAAATACAAGGAAAGTACTGCTTGTGGAACAGTTGAAATCGAGCCATGAGTGATTCCACCATTAATCTGAACATTTCCAAAAATAATCTTATAAGCTCAAGAAAAAAAGAATCAAAGTCAAACTACAACCGAAAATCTTCTCCTTCCTACTTTGACCTATGACTGACCAAGAAAGCGTGCCACGCAATCACACTACTCAAAAAAAAAAAAAAAAAAAAAAAAAAAACATTTCCATTCAATAGATTAGACATAAAAAATATTTCATCAGGCTCGGCTCTAACATTTGAGCAGTTATAAAGGGGTATCGACAAATTATTCAGCGGCTTCGCTATATGAAATTAAACAAAAAAAAAAAAAAAAAAAAAAAAAAAAAAAAATCAACCTCCAGGCATTTCTAACTCGTCTTATCGAACATTCTTTCAATATTTACCGTCTAATTAAAAAAAAAAAAAAAAAAAAAAAAATTCAACCTCCATGCTTTGGCTTACGATTGTCGACGGCGGCCATTGTCGCTTCGGTGAGGCTATTGCCAGGCCTAAAATAGTAGACCAAATTGAGGGCTTTAGTCTGTCAAACTTGATGCCGAACTTCTAGCGACAATAGCTTCGGTGAGGCTATTGCCAGGCCTTCGTAGGTTCGCTGCCAGTGGATGTGGAGGCCGAAGGCTCGCCGTCAGTTGATGGGGAGGACGACGAAATGCGTCGCGACAGAAAGAGGAGAGGGGCCGTCGGTTTGTGGGATGCGAATGAGGGGATAAGGAAAGGGAAGTGGGATTTAGCCCAAGTCCCTGTTGTCAAGCGAGTCGCCAACTCATCGACGACTTGTCCCAGTTGGAAAGCAAGCCGCCACTTCGCCGATTTGAAGAATTTTTCTTAATGCCATTAAAAATAATAATAATAATAATAAATATCATTTTAAAAATTTTGCATGCTAGTAAAAACTAAGACAAAAAAAAAAGGAAAAGAAAAAAAACTCATTATCGCCAATCAATTCAACGAAAATATACTTTTCCAACAACAACTCTCGTGTTGCCACAAAAAAAAAAATTATAAATTAGTTTATTTCGAAATGTTGCTCATCTGATCTGGGACAAGTAGGCATCGTCACCAGTTTTACATAGGTGAAACTGTCGTGTCTTACTCTTTTTCTTTTAATGCTGATTAAATAAATTTAATTTTAAATAAATATGTTTATAAATTTTCCTCATATTTACCTTCGACCAAATAGATGCTTATAGTAACATCTAGAGTTGAACTAGCCTTTGTTATCTTGCATGCAAGAACAAATGGAAAATAGATGCTTATAGTAACATCTAGAGTTGAACTAGGTTATCTTGCATGCAAGAACAAATGGACGAATCAAAAGCGAAGTTCAATTGGAAATATGGGATGAGCCCACTTCGTTGTTGGTTAATTAAATAAATCAATATTAAGAGTGGCATTCTTAATTCCAACTATAAATAGAAAATATCATATACTCTCACTTAGGAACAACAATCAAATTTAAGTTCATGTATATGACTACGAGGTGATCACCGGCCATCATCTAAGCTTCTATCTTCATTCGTCTTATTCTTACATTTCAATCATAAGTACAAAAGTCATTATTGACATCAACAATAAATGAGTTACAAATAAGGAAATAAAGCTTAATTTTTATGCAAATGTAATGATTATTGGGCTCCTAACTATTACTTTGTCCTTCACCCAATGTAGCTCTCCCTGCACTACCTCTTTAGCGAGAGGGGTGGCACCAGCACTAGTACTGAACTCTACGACAAAGCTTTTTTTCTCCCCCACCAAGGAAAATGTAAGTTCGCTTGGAGTGACGGTGAGTTGCACCTTTGCTGGTGCCACATACTTCACAGTATAAGCTGCGTTAGCTTCTCCAACATTAGTCACGGTTCTAGTCACATTCTTCCTTGTCCCAGCTGAAAATTTGAGCGCTATTGAAGGATAGTTTAGCTGCTCTGCTGAAATATTCCTTACTTCCGCACACTTCACTTTACTTTGCACCACGGCGCTCACCTACGATTCACAAGAACACATTATCAACTGTTATTATTATTGCTGAATTTGTTTAACTTACTTACTAAAAATATTATAAAATGTTTGTCCAACATTATTATGACTCTTTATTCAATAAATACTATATGAAACACGATATAAAAGGAAAGAATAATGGTATAAGATTATTTTATTTATTTATTTACTTAATTTTTTTTTAAGTTTCGGTAAGATATTCCTTGCTAAGATTGTTGGTTCTTCGAGCGCTCAAATAAGATGTATTTTCACCAGCATACCGAATGATTAGATTTAATATAAATTTAATGAGGAAATATGTTTACTTTCAAAATCATAATTATATACCTGGGCATCTGTGTATCCCAACCCACACATGTGACCCACATAGTCTTCAAAGCCGGCGTCATACACAAGCCCCGGCTCCGCTGCCTTGGAAGCATCAACCTGCCCAGCACCTAACGCAAAGTACGTCGCCGGTGGTCCATCGTCCGGATATTGATCGGCAATCCTTGACCCATCCGAATATGTGGCGTGCGCCGTCGTAACAATCGCCGATTTCACCGCGGCAGTCGACCAATCGGGGTGCAGCTTCTTAATAATCGCCGCAACCCCAGAGAGATGTGGCGTCGCCATTGATGTCCCGCTTAAAAAGTTGAAGTTTTTATTGGGCGGGCCGGCCTCCGGGTTAGGCCCAACACCTTTGGGCCATGCTGCAAGTATGTTTTCTCCGGGCCCCATCACGTCCGGCTTTAATATACCGCCGTTATAAAAGCTTGGGCCACGCGATGAAAATGCCGCGACCGATGGCGACTTCGGAGCATCGAATTGCGTTCCCCGGAATTCCAGCGCGGCCACGGCAGAGGAGTTTGAAGCAGAGATGTAGGAAAGAACCGCGGCCGCGTTTGGGTGGTTTAGAGACACCGCTGGTAGAGTGTTAGCGTCGGAGAAAGTAGCAAGTCCCCATTCCTCCGGGCCCAGCACTACCATAGCGGCGCCACCGGCGTTCTTAACGTTGGTACCGGTTTGGACAACGTCGGAATAAGGGCATGCAACGATTTTACCAGTGACGCCGATTTGAGCTAGGGTTTCCTGAGAGCAGTCGTCGGAATGTAGTATGGATGCAAAGTGGATGGTGGTGATGTTTGGTTGGTACCCTGACTCGCCGTCGAAATTGTTCCCGTTCCCAAGGTGAAGTGTCACCTTTATCCTTCTATCTGTCGAGCCAGCGGCGACGGTGAGCATCCAGGGGGCATCATTGGTGATGTAGCCGGCTTCGGGGCCGGCATTCCCGGCTGCAGTGGACGGGAAGACGCCGTGCTGCATGGCGGCGAAGGAGGCGGTGATTAATCCGTTCTGATAAAGCTCGCCGGGGCCAGAACTAAAAGAAGTTTGATACATAGTTAACCTTTTTCCTTTGACAGAGCTATTAACGATCACATTTTTTTAGAAAATAAATCGTTGAATTAAATCGTATATATTTGTAAAATTTATCTGCATAGCACTCAATTCTTATGTATTTACATATTTAACGCCTACAGTTAAATTTTTTCATACATACCACCTTATTTATGCATGAGATACGAATTTGGTGGCATGTATGTAAATGCCCCCAAATTTATTATTGTAATTAAAATATTATGCTATTAATCATTGAATTCTTAAGGAATTTAAATTTCTAATGCTTAGATTTCTAATCTTCTGTATATAACATTATAGCTAATTGAAATAAAAATTGCTCATATGAATTTATCTAAAATAAATCGTCTTTTCATAAGTTTATTTTTATGTAATAAATTTTTATTTAAATAATCATGAAAAATGCAGCTATTGGATATAAAAATTCGTAAAAATTTAATGAAAGGTAAGCAAATCCCTATCAAGCCATTACTAAAGAGAAGCAAAGTGTTACACAATCAAATATCTACACATGCTAAATAATAAATAGTTACAATTCAAATCAGCTCTATTAAACAGCTTAATTATGTGCAAATACCAAGCGGATTAATTAGCAAGGTTTTCAGCACGTTTTGAAAAAAAAAATTCACTGAATAAAAAATTTTGTCATCTATGCCAACTCCAGTCAGATCTTTGATTTAAGCCTCAGATGTAAGATAATCATCATCTATTTAAGAAAATAAATATTAGATTTTACTTCATTTCCGAAAAAAAATGGCGTGCAATTATATACAAAAATACAGACCCAAGCGACATGGAAAGCACGTCGACGCCATCAGCGATAGCTTTATCAATCCCAGCAATTGCGTCCGAGAACGTCCCTGAACCACCAAAGAGCACCTTGTAAATCGCCAAGTGAGCCCTCGGCGCCACACCAGTAGCAACTCCACGCGCCTGACCAAGCACGCTTGCGTTTCCTACGGCGACGCCGGCCGCCGTACTTGCTGTGTGTGTCCCATGTCCTATATCATCAAGCGGTGATGGGTGAGATCCGCCACGGAAAGCCATCGCTCCGATAATCTTGTTGTTACAAACCCCGGCACCGAAATCACACTGACCGCTCCATTTCGGTGGAGGTGCCGGTAACGTCCCGTCATCCGCGAAGCTGACGTGTGTAGGATCTACGCCGGTGTCAATAAGCCCGATGACGATCCCTTCCCCAAAACTCGAGTTCGGCCACACGCCGGAGGCCGAATTAAGGCCGATGAAGGAAGGTGTGTAGGTTGTCTGTGGCTTGACTATTTGTTGATCCGGATATGCGAGGAGGAAACCTGATTTGGATTCCATGGATAGAAGTTCGTGGGGTGCGAGGCGTGCGGCGAAGCCGCTGATGGCATGGGAGTAAGAATAGATGAGACGGGGCTCACCAGAGTCAAGGAAGGCGGTGGGGAGAAATGAGAGGTGGTGACGAAGGCGGTGGTCGTCGGAGAGATAGTTTGTGTCGTTGGGTTTGAGAACATGGATGATGTAGGTTTGGGTTTGGTCTGGGGGATTT